ACACCACAAACAACACAAACACACACACACACACACACACACACACACACACACACACACACACACACACACACACACACACACACACACACACACACAAAGACAGGATGTTCCAGAGATGGGACACAGTTGGAAGTTGAAGACACAATAATAATCACTCTAAGGAGCAATAAATATTATATAAAATGTTAATATAGACATTTTGCTTAATCCATCTAAATACACCCCACAGTAGAATAAATTAACATAAATATGAGATGTGGTAGCCAGGCGACTTGTAGGACTTGTGGTAGCCAGGTGACTTGTAGGACTTGTGGTAGCCAGGTGACTTGTAGGACTTGTGGTAGCCAGGTGACCTGTAGGACTTGTGGTAGCCAGGTGACTTGTAGGACTTGTGGTAGCCAGGTGACTTGTAGGACTTGTGGTAGCCAGGCAATTTGTAGGACTTGTGGTAGCCAGGTGACTTGTAGGACTTGTGGTAGCCAGGTGACTTGTAGGACTTGTGGTAGCCAGGATGACTTGTAGGCTTGTGTAGCCAGGTGACTTGTAGGACTTGTGGTAGCCAGGTGACTTGTGGTAGCCAGGTGACTTGTAGGACTTGTGGTAGCCAGGTGACTTGTAGGACTTGTGGTAGCTAGGCAACTTGTGGTAGCCAGGAAACTTGTGGTAGCTAGCATACTTGATGGTAGCCAGGAAACTTGTGGTAGCTAGGCAACTTGTGGTAGCCAGGAACTTGTGGTAGCAGCAACTTGTGGTAGCCAGGAAACTTGTGGTAGCTAGGCAACTTGTGGTAGCCAGTGAACTTTGGTAGCTAGGCAACTTGTGGTAGCCAGGAAACTTGTGGTAGCTAGGCAACTTGTGGTAGCCAGGGAAACTTGTGTAGCTAGGCAACTTGTGGTAGCCAGGAAACTTGTGGTAGCTAGGCAACTTGTGGTAGCCAGGAAACTTGTGGTAGCTAGGCAACTTGTGGTAGCCAGGAAACTTGTGGTAGCTAGGCAACTTGTGGTAGCCAGGAGACTTGTAGGAAACTTGTGGTAGCCAGGAAACTTGTGGTAGCTAGGCAACTTGTGGTAGCCAGGTGACTTGTAGGACTTGTGGTAGCCAGGAAACTTGTGGTAGCTAGGCAACTTGTGGTAGCCAGGTGACTTGTAGGACTTGTGGTAGCCAGGAAACTTGTGGTAGCTAGGCAACTTGTGTACCAGGAACTGTTGGGTAGCTAGGCAACTTGTGGTAGCCAGGAAACTTGTGGTAGCAGGCACTTGTGGTAGCCAGGAAACTTGTGGTAGCTAGGAAACTTGTGGTAGCCAGGAAACTTGTGGTAGCTAGGCAACTTGTGGTAGCCAGGTGACTTGTAGGACTTGTGGTAGCCAGGAAACTTGTGGTAGCCAGGAAACTTGTGGTAGCTAGGCAACTTGTGGTAGCCAGGAAACTTGTGGTAGCTAGGCAACTTGTGGTAGCCAGGAAACTTGTGGTAGCCTAGGCAACTTGTGGTAGCCAGGAAACTGTGGTAGCTAGGCAACTTGTGGTAGCCAGGAAAACTTGTGGTAGCTAGGCAACTGTGGTAGCCAGGAAACTTGTGGTAGCAGGCAACTTGTGGTTAGCCAGGAAACTTGTGGTAGCTAGGGCAACTTGTGGTAGCCAGGAAACTTGTGGTAGCAGGCAACTTGTGGTAGCCAGTGAAACTTGTGGTAGCTAGGAACTTGTGGTAGCCAGGAAACTTGTGGTAGCCAGGCAACTTGTGGTAGCCAGGAAACTTGTGGTAGCTAGGCAACTTGTGGTAGCCAGGGACTACTTGTGGTAGCTAGGCAAACTTGTGGTAGCCAGGAAACTTGTGGTAGCTAGGCAACTTGTGGTAGCCAGGAAACTTGTGGTAGCTAGGCAACTTGTGGTAGCCAGGAAACTTGTGGTAGCTAGGCAACTTGTGGTAGCCAGGAACTTGTGGTAGCCAGGCAACTTGTGGTAGCCAGGAAACTTGTGGTAGCTAGGCAACTTGTGGTAGCCAGGAAACTTGTGGTAGCTAGGCAACTTGTGGTAGCCAGGAAACTTGTGGTAGCTAGGCAACTTGTGGTAGCCAGGAAACTTGTGGTAGCTAGGCAACTTGTGGTAGCCAGGAAACTTGTGGTAGCTAGGCAACTTGTGGTAGCCAGGCAACTTGTGGTAGCCAGGAAACTTGTGGTAGCCAGGAAACTTGTGGTAGCCAGGAAACTTGTGGTAGCTAGGCAACTTGTGGTAGCCAGGCAACTTGTGGTAGCCAGGAAACTTGTGGTAGCCAGGAAACTTGTGGTAGCTAGGAAACTTGTGGTAGCTAGGCAACTTGTGGTAGCTAGGTAACTTGTGGTAGCTAGGAAACTTGTGGTAGCTAGGAAACTTGTGGTAGCTAGGTAACTTGTGGTAGCTAGGAAACTTGTGGTAGCTAGGCAACTTGTGGTAGCTAGGAAACTTGTGGTAGCTAGGTAACTTGTGGTAGCTAGGAAACTTGTGGTAGCTAGGCAACTTGTGGTAGCCGGTGGCGAGGAACTTGTGGTAGCTAGGCAACTTGTGGTAGCAGGAAACTTGTGGTAGCTAGGAAACTTGTGGTAGCTAGGAACTTGTGGTAGCAGGTAGAACTTGTGGTAGCTAGGAAACTTGTGGTAGCTGGCAAACTTGTGGTAGCTAGGTACTTGTAGGTAGTAGGGAAACTTGTGGTAGCTAGGAAACTTGTGGTAGCAAGGAAACTTGTGGTAGCTAGGAAACTTGTGGTAGCCAGGAAACTTGTGGTAGCTAGGCAACTTGTGGTAGCAAGGAAACTTGTGGTAGCTAGGAAACTTGTGGTAGCTAGGAAACTTGTGGTAGCAAGGAAACTTGTGGTAGCTAGGAAACTTGTGGTAGCTAGGAAACTTGTGGTAGCTAGGAAACTTGTGGTAGCAAGGAAACTTGTGGTAGCTAGGAAACTTGTGGTAGCCAGGAAACTTGTGGTAGCCAGGAAACTTGTGGTAGCCAGGAAACTTGTGGTAGCCAGGAAACTTGTGGTAGCCAGGAAACTTGTGGTAGCCAGGAAACTTGTGGTAGCCAGGAAACTTGTGGTAGCCAGGAAACTTGTGGTAGCCAGGAAACTTGTGGTAGCTAGGCAACTTGTGGTAGCTAGGAAACTTGTGGTAGCTAGGAAACTTGTGGTAGCCAGGAAACTTGTGGTAGCCAGGAAACTTGTGGTAGCCAGGAACACTTGTGGTAGCAGGCAACTGTGTGGTAGCCAGGAAACTTGTGGTAGCCAGGAAACTTGTGGTAGCCAGGCAACTTGTGGTAGCCAGGAAACTTGTGGTAGCCAGGAAACTTGTGGTAGCTAGGCAACTTGTGGTAGCCAGGAAACTTGTGGTAGCCAGGCAACTTGTGGTAGCCAGGAAACTTGTGGTAGCCAGGAAACTTGTGGTAGCCAGGAAACTTGTGGTAGCCAGGAAACTTGTGGTAGCCAGGAAACTTGTGGTAGCCAGGCAACTTGTGGTAGCCAGGAAACTTGTGGTAGCTAGGCAACTTGTGGTAGCCAGGCAACTTGTGGTAGCCAGGAACTTGTGGTAGCCAGGAAACTTGTGGTAGCCAGGAAACTTGTGGTAGCCAGGAAACTTGTGGTAGCCAGGCAACTTGTGGTAGCCAGGAAACTTGTGGTAGCCAGGAAACTTGTGGTAGCCAGGAAACTTGTGGTAGCCAGGCAACTTGTGGTAGCCAGGCAACTTGTCCAACACAGAGATAATGTCACATAATATTACTTGGGGAAACTGAGCAACATTAATTCCTTTTGTATGCCTTCACTCTGGGTGACATTTCTTACTAAAAATGGTGTTACAGAAATGGGAGTGTTTCTCTTTATGTATTCTACTGGTATCAATGTGGAGCAAACTTGTACACATGTAAAGTGGATAACCGGACGCATTCGTTTGGTTTGGTTTACATATGTGTGGTGGGAGGTGAGGCGTGGCTACCCAACTTTACCGAACTTTACAAATAAACTCACTTCACACAACATTAAGGTACTACAAATATTTTAAGTAATTAATGAGGTAGCACTAATACTTTTATAACAAATTGTGGAGCTTAATGTGGGAGAGGATAAGTGGCCTGGCAGGAATGCATACCTCCACACACTTTTACAAAAAACTCTTTCACCCTCCTACATAAGACCATTAGATACAAATATTTAGGTAAGTAAACGCGTACTGATATGCATTTTATCGATCTTGTGGGGGCTTTAAGCATCATAATATAGTTGGTGTGGGTTGGGTGGCTAGGAGGGCCACCACACCTGACTTCTTAGAGTAAATACTACTCGCCTTTTGCCCTACATTAAGACTACAAGTATTTTGAGGTAAATAATGAGTGTACTGTGTGTGTATTTTACTTTTTAATGCCTAGTTCTATTGCTAACTTAATATATTTTAGTGTAAACTTGTTATCTGGCATTTATATGCATTTATAAATGGAAAAAAATGGAGTTCTGCTTTCCAGTAAAGTCTGCTTTCCGGCAGTAGCCTGGGACCTAACCTGCCGAATAAGCGGGGCCCTACTGTATTTACATTGTGTTATGCAGTAGGATAAACCCTCGATGTAATGAACTAGTAAGGGAGGTTGTCCGAGTGTTTGTTAAACCAGAATAATGTTGTATTTTAATAAGCATTGGAAATAAAGGAGTTAAAAGTACAAGTTACCCAGTGGATTTTTTTCCCAGTTATTATAAAAGTCCATTATATCAAGGTTAGTTAAATTGAGGGTTTTGTACTTCAGTGTCACCTTCTTTGGGGTGAGCATTATATAGTAGTGTGATGTAAATGGTCTAGAAAACCAACAAAGTTGAAGAATGAGACACTCGTGCAATACGAGAGAATCTTTGTTGAGGAAACTTTTTTGCCAGTCAGTAGCTTCTTCAGTCCAGTCCACGATTCTTCTATGTACTGGACTGAAGAATGTTGCATAAGTGTCTCACCACTCTATTGCAGCATTGTGTCAAAACTCACTAATTCTCTTGGTTACAGGAGCAAGCAAGAATGGTAGGGGTGGTGGCGAGCATAGAAAGAAGGAAGAGATGCAGGTACAAAAACAGGATGTGGTGGGTCGTGGAGCAGTGGTGATAGCTCAAGACGACGGTCTCTGCCGCAGGATGAAGACCTCCACTGACGGAGAGCGGTACGTGACACACTCAGTGTCAGACAAGGATGGCAAGACCACCTACACTACAGAGGGTATCAACAACAAGACCACCAACTCACTTGAGGTCATTGGAGGTGAGGTCTTCCTCTTGAACCCTTTGGTATACACTGTATATTAATGCAAAGCATCAAACCTGAGTGGGTTATTCAGTGCAAGGAGTAGTGCAGGCTCGACCCTCCATCTAAGCACAATACACATTCCCTACATAGCTGTACTCTTACTGGTATACATTTTAGTATGGGGGGAAATAATTTATGCACTTGGCACATACTGAAGCTCTCCCCAACTGTATACAGAGTAAGTTTATTTAGGCACAGGTACGCAAGTACAATTATCATACTGTGAATTACCTAGGATAACCCAAAATAGTCAAAATGACTTATTTCCAAAAGTTTCTAATATTAATTAAGCAGATTTTTATCATAGAGAGAGACAAGACTTGATTTGTACATTATTATAAGCATTGAAGGAATACAGACTAGAGAATATGAAGAGGACAACACTTTATACCAGGGTCCCTCACAGTAAATGAATGATTAAAGGCTCTTCCTCTTGCTACAGGTGAGGACTTCAATGCCAAGCGTGAAGTGCAGGGTCGAACTGGGCACCGGGTGGTGGTAGAACGCAGCAAGGACAGCCAAGGACGACCCTCAACAGTTGTAAAGAAGATCACTTCTCAGTCCAGGGTTGTCATGTGAGTCACGTGGCTAGTAGAGAGAATTTTTTTTTAAATACAGACATGCTAGGAAAAGAATGACAAGTGCAGTATAATACAATCCTTTATAGACTATGTTTCATCAATGCAATGGGCTTAAGTCACAGACTGATAAAACAGGGGAGGGAGGGTGAATATATATAGGCAAACTCACTAAGGTGGAGAGGCAGGTTCAATATGAGATAATGGGTGAGGAGTTTGCCTAGCTTGTGTTGACAGGGCAATTGCAGTGTTCCTCTGAATTATTATTATACGAGGTGATTTAAAAGCTTCATAGTGAGTGACTCGGCCATGTTGTAAAAGCTGTTGTCCTGCTTAGACATTGTTGGATACACTGATTAGTTCTCATTGTAAAATTCTGCATCTCGAGGTCTCTCTCTTCTTTGATAATGAGTATTGTACCCTTTAAATTAATAAAGTAGTTGGTTATGAAACACAAGCATTATCTAAGTCTCTGATTCTACTAGCATATTGAAGTCAGAAATTCACTTGTCAAGGTTTCTGGATGCTTCACCCCACATATTTGTCACAGTCTTTGCATGTGATTTTGTACACTCTTGCAGGGGTTTGTTCATGGTGGTGGTGATAGACTTGGTTGAGAAATGAGCATTCAAGGTTTTCACTACTGCACATATGGAGACACATAGGAAGAAGCCTATGGTGACACCACATTTAGTATGTGTCATGGTGAAAATGGAGCAGATTGTGTTGGTTTATGGTTGATCTTAAAACATAGTTCGTGGTCAGACTTGGAGAGGACGGTGAGGAATGGGAGAGTGCTGTCAGCTGAATCTGAGCGTGAGTAAGATGGGAGGGTGGGCTTGACCTGGTCGAGTGTGTTGGAGCGCAAGTATGTCAAACTTGTAGGAGTTAATGATGAAAATATTGCCAACATGGAGCCAGATAAAAGAGGACTGGATAATGGAGAAAACCCCATTGGGCTTCAAGATGTTCCATGTATAAATTCACAATCATCAGCACTTGGTGGGGGAAGCCCTTAGGTAGCCCAAAAATTTGATGAAAGAATTTTCATTTAAAAACTTGGTTAAAACCAAGACATAGCTTAATGAGGTCTACAAAGTCAAGGGCTTGACCTTCTAATGCCAGCCTATGACACTGTAGACCTCATTGAGCTATGCATAGGTTTTAACCTAGGGGCTCCCCATTAAGTGTTGTGCTGGTAAACTTATACACAGAACATCTTTAAGTCAAGCGGTTTCCCCTCATTATCCTCTCCTCTTTTACCTGCTTCTGCTATGGTAATGACAAGTTAGTCATTACTCCTAGAAATTAGACATCCCTGCACTTCAACACAAGTTCAACCAGGTCGAGCCTTCCATCCTATTCACACTTGTAGAGGAAGCTCACAGCACTCTCCCATTCCTTGATGTTTTACTCTGCAAATCTGACCAAAAGATATGTTTTAAACCAAACAACTGACACAATCTTCACTTCTACTTATACCTTGACACTAACTTTGAAGGTGGTGTCATCACAGGCTTCTTCCTGTGTGGTAGTGAATGTCTTGATGCTTCTTTTTACCCTCTCCCTCCTCAAACAAGTCTTTTCTAAACTTCACTACCCTTGTCATTTCAGAGATTGCAAATGCCATACTTGACCTAATCTGATATTTAATCAGTTTGCCTTGACTTTTACCATCATCATCTTTCTGTTTACTATATTCACTTTTAATTTCCTACTTTTTCATATTCTTCCAAATTCATCTATCAACCCCCTCCTCAAGGAAGGTTCCTTGACGTTGGTGAGGGGCTCTTGATCTAGGGAATTGGATCTATGAAAATTAGACACATATGCAACATCTGGGTATCTTTAATGTAGACATTTTGCCATCCAGTGGCTTTATCAATACAAACTCTAGGACATAATTTCAAGACAGTAGAACTATATATAAAAGATGAAGTAATCAGTCCCTCAGCCTTGGAGTTGGTGTGAAGAGCACCGTAGTCGTGAAGAATTTGGAGCACAGGCAGGAAGGCTGGTGCTTATATACTGGTGTCAGGTGAAAAGGAACGGGTAGTAGACGAAGGCATTGTCAATGGTAGGCAGGATTCTAAAGTGGACAACTCGTGCCACCTACAATGTAATTTGGTAAATATCTAGCGTTTATAAGATTTAAACAGTGCAGTCATCTTTGACAAAGTTTTCTGCTTAGTTCTTTAAAATATTTCATGGTAAACCATACTAGAGGTACATTACAGAAAACCTGAACACTCCAGTACAATTGTCAACCACTGACTTCCTTCACATCAATGCAAGAACCACAGCCATCCATCTCAACCCAGTAGGTGCCATCAACCATTACCATACATTTCCATTTATAGAGGAAAACCATACCCAAACTTAATTTATACTGTAGTAATTTGTCAATTAAAAAATTGTTTGGCAAATTTGGAGGTGTCTGGAATGTTACTAATTATGCTTTTTACTCGTGGTGAATTTAAATTATACGCTGACTGAGAAATGAAACTCAAATAGTGTTTACTACATTTTAAAAAAACAAAGAGCACATTGTAATTTTCTTTTCTTTTCAGAACTAAAACGAAACGAAAGCCTCCTGTAGCAGTGTAATGGCTGACACACTGGCTCTTAACTCTCCCAGCTCTGTCTTCACACCTTGACGACTCAACTGTCCAAGAGTTGGAAAAAATATTCCTCAGCGGCTCATACTTGTGAAATTTATGTGATGGGGCTTTGTGCTTGAAGAAATGTACGTAAACATACATGAAAGTGCACACGCATGTGTAAAAAAAACATACGCACACATACTGAATGCAGTGTAGCAAGATTTGATTACAAAGAAAATAACCTGGTGCAAATAACTAATAAGTATTCCTCTCGCAAAAATATTACATGGAAATGGCGGTCTTGCATTTTGTTGGGTTTCCTACGGAGCAATTCCCTGTGACATCAGCAGCGAGGCCATCCTCAAAGTTGAGGTATTCCTATCATAGCTGGGTAGCAACTTAAAAACTTGAATCCTAACTTACTAATTCTTGGATTATAGTGCATTTACTTCCTACTAGTCTGTGATATTCTGCCATGTGTACTGACGCTCACTATTTGTTAATTGTAATGGGATTTATCGCATTTGGTTTGCATTTTTGACATTACTTTTAGTACACATTACTCAAGTGCTCACTGTTTGTATACTTGATGTAATTACATTGTGCTAAAAAGTCCAATTTATGGTTGTAGATTGTATGTACAGTATTTTGCTTTTTGTACTTTTCTATGTATTTTTTCACAAAAGAATACACTAGTTATTTTCTTTCCCTCTGTAATAATGTTATTGCTTTGTATCCCGTTGCAATCTGGAACCATTGTTCCATGTTGCACAGCACGGAACTTTGGTCTCTGTGCTCAGACTCCTTAAAAGTGATTCCTAAGTGTTGTGAACCTCAGATTGCATCCTTGGTAAAGCTCATTAGTTTATAGTTTGCTTCATAACAGATTTGTCTTATGTTCATATGGACAGAGCCAGCTGTTAGAAGTACAATTGTTGACTTCCTTAAGAGACTACTTATCCTTGTCTCTTTCTTTTATTTCCTAGCCATCTGAGGTGTTTTCTAATTATCTGTAGGTATGCAAACTGTTTTACTGACATTGATAGAATTTAAAATAATTAAACTATATTTAATGATTTTTTTTTTATTTTATATAAGCCTTTGTGTATTGCTTTGAAAATTATATATACATAGCATGGAGGTATGGATATAGGTATAATGGTAATGCAAGACATGAGCTTTGAACACTGTAGTAAGGAGGTTACAATTAGCAGAAATATCATATTCTGAAGTAGTGTGGTGGGAATAATATGCAAAGAATTTAGAGTAAAGAAACTAGAAGACAGTATAGGGGAGTTATTGAAGATGTTTGGGCATTTAGAGATGAGATGTATATCAGGTAGAATGAAGGGTTATCTTAGGAATGGTAAAGGAGGAGGTGTGTTCTTTGGGATTGAGCATCCAGCAATCTTGTGTGAATGTGTTAGATTAGAGCAGATGAAGACAAATGGTTTTTAATGCTTGATATGCTGTTGGAATGTGATTATATTATACTTATATCCTGTAAGCATCAGTGTTGGAGTGTGAGCCAGGCAACATTTATGAAGGGTTTTAGGGAAAATGACCAGCTGGAGATGGAAAGCAGTGTGGATGTTTCAGTTGGAGTAATCTGGAATGTGATGGTAAATGTTTCCTATCTATGGGTCTCACTAGTTTGGTGGAAGAGGACTGATAAGATAAAAAAAAAAAATATAGTACATGTTTTTGATCACACCAGCAGTATGACCCAAAGAAGATATTCATTTTCTAGCTGTCTTGCCAGAAGAGTATATCATAATTTCCATCTAATCCTTCAGTTCAGGCTGATTTTCTTTAATGTGGCTCATGCTCCACATCAAATCCAATGCTATTATTATAATTAAAAAAAAAAAAGAATTAAATCACAAGGGCTATATAGTGATCCGCTGTATAGCCCTTGTGGCTTAGCGCTTCTTTTTGATTATAATAATAATATATAGTGATCCAATGCTATAACTTGCTCACACATGCCTGCTGGATGCTCAAGACCTTATTCACACTTAACCCTTTCTGAGATGTCACTTTTGCAACTTATCTTCATAATTCCCTACAAGGACTGTCATCAGCAAACAACTTCATACCACATTCACTGACTTTTAAAATAATATTTACTGCTTTTCCAACTCTATAAATTCAGTGAACAAACATGGTAACTTCACATGTTCATATTTAAGGTATACTGTTACTGGAAATTAAGCTCCTCTTTTCCATGTTGTAATCTGAGCCTCATAAAATCATTTTACAGGATTTTAAAACCTACTGTGCCTATTCCATATAATGTTAACATCTACCACACTGCACTTTCAACCTGATCATTGCCATTTTCTGAAGATGAGTGCAACAAACAGATCTTTGCTTGTACTGGGAATATATTAGGCAGCTCACAAATATCCTGCACATAGAAAAAACTATGATGATGTTGGCCCAACTTAAGACAGTTAACTAGTTAATAGGCCAAGTCGGATTTAAACAGGCAAAGTTTCTTTCTCCTATGTGTGGGTTATTTGTGAATTGTTCCAGTCACGGTATTGTACCATTTTATTCTTTATGTTAAGCAGTTGGTCAACACATTCCCTACCCTTCCTTTATCTTCTGCAATCCTGCTCTTATTCCAAACCTTTAATAAGTCCATTGTACATTTTACCTGGTGTACTCACAGAATTTACCGTACAATTTTTACAATCTCTTTTTGCCCCCTTTATCCCTCATACAAAACAGGCTCCTGTATACATACTTTCTGCCAGTACTTAGGTCCCTTTCCCTCTGTCATTCATATGTCAAATACACCAACCATTTCAAAACTATATCCTCACCAGATTCAGCATCTCAGTCTTTATTCCACTTAAGCTGCTTTACACTTCTTATAATGATGAATGTCCCACATGGCATTACAGTGCCTTTGCCTGTGAAGGGTTCATGATTCAAGGAATAGGAGCTACCCCTCTCATTTCTTTGATCAATCCTGATTACCCTCGCCACTGTCTCACCCACTCTTATCAAGTATTACTTTCCCCGTCCCACATACAGGAACTCTCAGCCTCTATTTCACTGACATTCAGCAACTGAAATATTATATTTTGATAATATTTTACATTTGCAGGCAACAGCTTGCATTCCTAATATAGTCACTGAAAGCTAAACTTGTGTGGGTCATATAGCACTACACAGAAATAAACTAATTTTATTTCTTTGTACAGTATACAAAATATAGTTGCATTACATATAATAAAATATTAAGCACAAGAGAAAAACCACTGGTATGTGATGCATTTCAGATAGAAGTGTTGAGGGACAGACATCACCAGGAAGGATGAGCATGGGGAATGCAAGACAATCAAGTTCGATTCAAGAAAGAGAAAGGTAACAGATTCCTTGGATCAAGAACACTTCACCCCCCTCCCTAACTGCAATATTATCAAAAAATGAACTAGATTCGTAAAGCTGATGGGAGCTACTGACAAAGGGAAATTACTACTGTAATGTGAACGGTGAACCTGTGCTATGAAAGTTTAAGTCAGTGTAATAATCAGTTTCAGTCAAAAAAGTCTGAATTAGAGGCAGGGCTTTCTGAAAGCAAAATAAGAGTGCCCTAATGCCAAAATAAAAGACTGGAAATAAATTCAACACAATATCTGATAAACAATACAATCAAATATCTGATCAACAAGACCCGGCAAATTTAACAGAGGCACTGAGCACCTCTCCATGTGATAACTATGTGCAAGTCTTGTGTACTTAATGCACAATCACCCAAAAATCATTTCCCAAACACAACAGAAATAAAACAACGTCCTACAGTATGCTTGTTGTAGTTTTTTAGTTTAATATCCTCATTATGCATGCTATGCCTATCCTGTGGGCAGTAGTCAAAAGATTACAGAGGTACATAATGAGTCCAGGGACTGGGATGAAAAGTTTTTTAATAGCTTAGCAAGTTACAGTGGTAATCAACTATTTGTTTATATCTGGCTTGTTGTAATAAAGTTGGTAGAATTACCGACAATATGTAAAGTAAAAGGACACAAGTGCAAGTAATGTGACATTTTATTGTGGCAACGTTTCGCTCTCCAGGAGCTTTGTCATGCCGTTACAAACAGTGCATGGACACACAGGGTATATATAGGCTCAGAGTGAGGTGCAATACTAGTGGTAGTAGTAGTAGTAATACAATATGTCAGAACAGTTAACTTGCACATGAGTAAAGGATATAAAAGCTATACTTGGGAAACATAAAAATTGGTTAGACAAATATTTCTATTGGAGGCTGGATAGAGAAGGCCTGTTTCATTGTTCATTCTCTGTAATGTGCTTGTGTAGTATTAACAGGAGAGACTATGTGATGGCAGGGTTTACTGTTTTCAGGAGGATTCTTGCTAAGACTTCAGAGATGGTGAAGCTGCCTTTGTTTTGTTTAATTGTATTAGAAACAGCTATTAGTGAAGATTCAAGGCACTTGCGTCTGCGGAAATTAGTTTCTTTGATCACTAGTTGGGCGTCCCTGAACTTCACGAGATGATTGGTGGAATTTCGATGTTGTACACAGGCACTGTTCAAGTTATCTTTCCTACATACGTAAATGTGTTCATTGAGGCGGGTGTCGAGGTTTCTTGCTGTTTCACCTACATAAATCTTGTCGCAGCCTCCACAGGGTATAGTGTAAACCCCTGTGTTGACTGGTTCGTGGTGCTTGGATTTTGTTCTGGCTAGATCCTTTATCGAAGTGCTGGAAGCGATGACGACTCTGGTGTTAGCTTGTGAAAGTACTTTAGAAACGTTCAGTGCAACCTGGCTCTTGGGAAGAATTATAACTTTGTTGGGAGTGGTGTTGGTGCATGGAGAATTAATGATCTGAAGAGCTCTTTTCTTGCAGTCTTTGATGAAAAAGGAAGGAAAATGTAAATCTGTGAAGGTTCGGTGAATGTATGTACATTCATCTTCTTCTAATCTTCCCAGACAATATATCACTGCCCTTAAGGACCTCGCCAACGACCCAACATTATCGTCACCACCGCCGACAAAGGAGGTGGAGTCGTCATACTCAACACCAAAATGATGGACCTCTTGAATGATCAGTCTACATACGAACCCATCAGCACTCACCAAAAATTTTCTATACAAAACCAGACAAATACTCAAATGCACTAGAGAAGGGAAGAAACTTCTGTACTTGTTACCCAGCAACCCTAAACCAGCACACATGTATGGTTTACCCAAGATCCATAAACATAATATTCCTCTCAGACCAATCACGTCAGGTATAGGCCGTGCACCACACAAACTAGCCGGAGTTCTTGCCAAACATCTTTCCTGCCTTCTGGGGACCATCAGCCCCGCTCATCTTAAACATTCAGGCGACCTTCTCAACCGCATCCGAAGCCTCTCCATCCGTAACAAGAAACTAAGCAGTTTGGACGTGACTTCCCTCTTCACAAAAGTACCTACCACAAATGCCATCGAGGTTCTACGATGTAAAGTCAATCAGGACCTTAATCTTCCTCTACCTCCTGGAGATTTTGTTGACTTAACTGAACTATTTGTTAATTTCAACTGCTTTTCTTTCAATAACAGGCTCTACAAACAAACCTACGGCGTGGGAAGGGGGTCCCCCATCATGCCGTCCGGGCCCAAACTTGTACATGGAACCCCTAGAGTCTGAACACTTCCCAACATCATCCTTCAAGCGTCACTTGTTTACGTTACGGGGCGATTCCTCGTAATAACTCCCAAACGTTTTGTTACGGAATCTACGGCAAGGCTCAACCAGTTGAACCGGCGATCCGTTTACCAGAAGAAGTTTGTTATGTTAAATTCCCGGGGTTAATTCCCGGACCTCACAATGAGAGGGGCTTTCTCCCGCGGGCAAGGGCGACCAGTGAACCTAGAAGAAGAGCCCAAATGACAAGTACCCTTTCCTTGACTCCCTTTTCAAAATTTAGACAACACCCTAAGATTTCAATTTATCGGAAACCTCCAAAAAAAAAATGTTCAACATTCATTCCAGTCAAGATCCCAAGCCCAAAAAGGATCATCATCGGTTTTTCCTAAGAAACCAAATTTT